TGCTTGCTGTGAGACCCCTTCCATTGGATACAAGTTGGGGTATATCCGGTGGAAGGGGTGACAATTTCTGTGAATGTTGAGTTGTTAAGAAGGAACACTTCATCCTATGAGGATGACATTGCAGCTGCTGCAGACAAAGGTCAGTTTTCTCTCTTCACAATTTGAGTGGGAGGAGGCTTGAAAGCAAAGAAGCGGAAGGGCAGATAGCTCTGTACAGGAATGTAGTTTTCCACTCACATGGTACAAGTAGCAAATGCCTTTCCAATATGTGGCTAAAGAGTAAACTACAAGTATACAAGGATGCTTGAACTCCTAATCCTCCTTTGCAGGTATGCTGTTCAGCTATTTCCCACTCACTTTTGGAGTCCTGCCTTGTGTGATGGTAACTAAAAATGGCCCAGGAAATATGTGCAGGAAAAAATAAACAAGTGGAGAGGTATGCATTCTCCCCTTGCTTTAGCACCTGCAGTAGCATCTACTCTTTCCTGCATAAAGTCTAGCTGTACCTTAGGCTTATTTATTTAAATAAAATATAAGTATAGACAGCATACAAGATAGTAAACATATAAAACAGATACAATAGTATCAATAGTTATACATAGTCACTAAAATAACAACAGGATTACTAATAAAATAAATGCAATAAAATCAGAAGTTACCAATTAAATCAACAGTCTAAGAATGACTGAAAGGTCAGGAAGAACTGGTGGAGCTTTCTTGGAACCCTACAGAGAAGGGGCCTGATAAACTCCTGGTAAAAGCTGAGCCCAGAATTGCTGGGGCATTATTTAGAAGGCTTTCTCCCTTATCAGTTTCACCATCCTTGGTAGTGGCCCACTGTGAAGGGCCTCGTGATGTCCTCAGGGTACTGGTAGACTAGTACAGGAGAAGGTGGTCCTTCAAGTAACTTGGACTCAAAGCATTTGAGGATTTCAGGGTGAAACAAACATTTTAAATTGGCTTTGGGAACACATTTGCAAACAGTGTGGCTGGTACAGTATCATCTGCTGAACAGTCTTCTATCAATCTCCAGGTAGCTGAATTCTCCACTAGTGCCACTTTCTAAACTGTTCTTTAATGCAGTTGCACAAGCAGTCCAGACAGTACCAGCCCGGATCTGTCACTGGAGCATGAATAACAAAGGCAAGTTCTTCCCTTCTAGATATAGGACTGTCATTACTGTAGTAGCCTAAGATAGTCATCCTGGCTACTGTTTCTACATAAGTATCTCCCATTAGCATTGAACAATGCCAAGTTGCATGCTTGATTGTTTAACGGAAGTGTAACCCCATATGAATCCAGATGTAATCCTCTGTCCTAATTAGTCAGTGTCTTACCAAATACCCACTGCACCTTAGAACTTTGCAGGATGTAATGGAGCACATTACAGCTTGCAGAAATTTTTTATATTATGCAGTTTTGTGAAAATACCTGAGGATAGGGTGCTTTTTACAGGAAAATGACTGCATTGGAAACAAGATATGTTGCTATAATGTGAGTTAAACCAGTAAATAAACTAGACCTAATTAAAGTAGGCCAATAACCTGAAATACTAGCTTAGTCAATGTCTATTTTACACAAAATCTTGCTTTATCTAATGGTATAGGCTTTAATCAGCAGTGTGATAAATACTTGCCTGCTTGGAAGGAATGAAGAGAAAAGTTGGAGAACTGGTGCAAGTTTGTTTATTACAAACCTGAACATGAATATCAATACTTGGAGGCATCCTGTTGTTGTTGCCTACTTTGAAATGTGTAGTGGTCACTTTGGTAGCTCTGAAATATGCTCTTTAAATTAAGTAAAGGTGGTAGTGTTCATGTCAGCCTCCTCCTTAACTAATATTATATATCTGTTCTACAACTACTGATTGACAGCTCCTTCATCCCCCCCCCCCAACAAAAGTCAAGCTCAGAGCCTTCAAATAGAAACTAAATGTTGGGGACAGGGTTCTAACCTAGGTTTCTCCTTGATATCAAGTTATTTTCTGTTGAGCAAACATTTTCCTTTTTGCGTGGAGAAGAATTCAATCACATGGGTCCTTCACCTACAATTCCTCTGCTTTAGCCAGACAGAGTTATCCTTAGAAAGAAATAGGTCTTAGACAAAACACTGAGCCATATCAGACTTGGTTAGAATGCTGCCTTTCTGTTTGCTTTAAAACAAGCAGCCACTATCAAGTTGGGCCTGCAGATTATACCCATGGGATTGCTGAATTTGTAACACTAACAGTTCACAAAGAAATGCAGCTTCTTGGGAGAAAGACTTCTCTTGCTACCACTTCTGGAAGTTCCTTGATATTGATATCAAGGATAAGAATAGTACTCTTAGAACATTTAACCTGCAATTTTAACCTTGCATACTTGAAGGAAAATTCTTTTGGAAGAGATGCGGAGAGCTTTGTTTTGTGTTTATTCATGAAAGGCTGTTAAAAAAATTCTGGAGCTATTTTGTGAGCATTTGAATGGCATTTAGTTCTTTAAGGCACAGTTCTATGCAAGTTTAGACAGAAAAATGGCCTACAACTCCCAGCCATGCATACAATACAACAATTCTGAAAAGGCTAGAATGGCATATCCTTCTGCAAAGCCTAAGATTATATAAGGAATCAGTTTAGATATGCATAGATAGCAGAGAGAATAATGAAAATAAATCTTGTTCTGAGCAGGGTTGTAATAGAAACCAATTATTATAGCATCGACCCTAACTTTGAGATTGATGTAATAGACACAATAGTACTGTTGACTAAACATGGTATAAGACTAAGCGTGATTTTTTTTCTGATTCATTCTCATTCTCTCCTCCTTCTGCTTCCTCTTTCCCTCCCCTTCCTTTAGGGTTTAATCACAATTAAGTGACAGATGCTGAACACAATTTGTCCTAGTCTAATTGACTGCAAAGTCATGGTCAATATTGCATTGGCTAACTCAGCTCCTCACAGTCATGTCCAAACTAATGAAATTGCGTTAGTGAGACATCTTGCTGAAGTAGTAAGTGGAGGTCCTTCTTCCTAGCTCTAATTTACATATATAGAACGTTGGTTTTCCGTGTATAAATAAAGCCACTTTTCACATCATATTTGCATTCACAATTGGATTTCCAGTGTGAACTAATTTTGTATGTTTTATATCCCTTTTATTCCTTTTCTGGATCTGAAGGAAGGAGTATGAGTCATATGACAGTATTTCATTTTAAGTGATATTACTGAAGTATTTGAATAAGAAGGTCATAATCTTGCACAAAGGTATTATTTTATTTTTATGTATTACATTTCTATTCTGCCCAATAATCAATGCCTGGAAAGGATAATGAAAGTAAATATTCCAAATATAAGCTGTAAAGCTCTAATGCTTTAGTTCCACAGAATCTTACCGATGTTTCAGGGCTCAGATGCAGATTGATATATGTTTAAATCTCACAGTGTTCCATAGGGCTTACTCATTAAGAGGTGTGACTCAGAGTAGGTTTGGGACTGCAGTAAATATCTCTCTTGCCTATAGATGCTGAAAGACTTCGTGTTGATTATGACATTGAGAATCTTGTATAGCCTTGGTTTTTTTCTTTTATTAGTCAAAGCAGGCAAAAGGCCACTTCAAACATCACACATTTTCTTAAACAAAAAAGCACTTGCATATAGGAAGAAGACATGAAACTCACATGTAGATAGGCATACATCGGTTTCATGCCTCTGTTTCACAGTATACATATTGGCTGTGGCTTCTCAGGTCATGCATGCAGACATTCCACAACACACAATGCACTTCACCCTGTTATTATTTTCTGGCCTGAAATGTTTTATGCCAAGTTAGTTTTATGCTATAAATCTGTAATGAAAACAGTGCTTTGTACCAGAAGGTTTGACAGTCTAATTACAGTGGTGCTTTAATTGTCTTATTTTTGGCTTTTTACAGTTTCAGGAGCTCTTCCAAATTTGACCTACTACAGTAAATTTGCATCAACATAGTTCTAGAGATTATCTACAGAGAACTTGTAATTCTTATACATATTCCATAATGCATATTCCATTAATCTGAAATAAAATGCAGATCTGAAATGAAATCCTTGTCTTAAGCTGTCCATTTATCCCAAGTGGTACTTTATAGAATACATTTTGAAGAAGAGTATTATTGGTGGTATATATCATATTAAGGAGACATTGTGTTTGATATGTTCATTGTGGAAGCATTGTTCTGTGTGTGTGTGTGTGTGTGTGTGTGTGTGTGTGTGTCTGTGTCTCTCTCTCTCTCTCTCTCTCTCTCTCTCTCTCTCTATATATATATATATATATATATATATAATATGCTACAAATACTGTATGAAATTGTCAGTTAACTAAAATCATTCATATAGTATGCTCTTAGAAACAGAATTTGTACACCTTTAAAAATGTGATTAACAGACTGGTTCAAGCTTGAAGAACCAAAATGAAACTGAACTGACGTTTGGGCACTGGACTGGTATTGCTTGTTTATACTTCTGCAGTAGTTTTGCTTCTTTTCATGCTAATATTGCTTTAAAAGCTCTCTTACTTAGGCACATAGAAAGAAAGCTTGTTTGAAATTCTGCATGAAATTAATATAGATGTAATATGAAGAGTACACCATTAGGTAATGCCTAAAACTGATAAAAATGAGCATAATACCCAGAGTAAAAAGGAATATTCTTGAAGATATGCAGACATATTAATTTTAATTTATCCGTTTGATGTCCTAATTGCTGTTGAAGATTTATTGACTGATTTTAAGGAAGCAAGTGTTTGAAAGTTTCTGGCAAATACTATCTTCTTGTAATGAGAACATGGCATTGAAAGAAGTTAAGAGGAGAACAAAATTAGATTGACTGATTGTTCAGTCATGTGGCCAGACTGGCTGCATATCCCGGCTGTTAAGAATGATTGCTCAAATTACATTGCCTCAGGTCCCTGCACTTGGTTGGCTGTCTTCTCAGATCTTAACAAGGTTCTGGGAATTCATTTCTGACAAAGTTTGCTTTGTGTTTTGCAGGATGCTTCATCAGCAGACATTAGGAAAGCATATCGCAAGCTTTCATTAATACTACACCCGGACAAGAATAAAGATGAAAATGCAGAAACCCAGTTTAGACAAGTAAGTGATACTACATTAAATATTAAATACATTGAATTTTGACTATGTTGTAAAATATTTAGAAATTATTAACCATAGGAATTTGGAATGTTATTTTTGTAGCTTTATTTTTGTTTAAAGTCTTTAAATAGGTTTCAACTAATAAACGTTTTAAAAAATAGATAGAAGTGCAACATGTGCTATCAGAAGCTGAGTATTCTTAGATGGGAATGCTTAGAATTTGGAACTTGATATTAAGGTTCTGTTCTTCTTTTTAGCACAATGTCACATTTACCCTGTAATGGGAAATAGAAAAAAAATCTAAGTAATACATATTTACTGTGAAATGAAACTTTGCACCCATATTTTTAAAGGAAAATATTTTAGCAGAACTTGCTCATTTGTAATCTACTTAGACATTTTCATAAATATTAGTGAAATAGTAAAGCATGCTTTAAAAAGTGGAAGCTTTTTTTGGCTTACATAAGAAAATAATCAAATTTATGTCAACATGAATAGACACTTAATTACAAAAAATAAAGTGGAAAACGTTTTGAATTGTATATAAAGGACAGTAAAAGTTGTATAAAATGACTTGGACATTTTCATAGTACATGGAATGATTTGAACCGTTTTCACTTTTATGAAAGAAAGCTTTTATATACTTATGCTTTGTGAAAAAACTGGTTGTTCAGTGCAACATTCTTGATGTGATTAGTGTTGTTTTTAATAAAAATATACTTTTATTCTAGTTGGTGGCCATATATGAGATTTTAAAGGATGAAGAGAGGAGGCGTAGGTGAGTTTTATTATGCATATGTTTCAAAGCAAGCTTTTCAATGTTTGTAGTAACTAACATGGACTAGGATGTCCAGAATTTCTTTAAAGTCATAGTCTTTATAACATGTTCACTGTATATTCTACCAAATTTCCTTGTATGTGCATTAATTAGTTTTCTGGGTTTTATCTCACATTAACAAGAGAAAGGGAAGCAAATTTATCAATCACAGTACATTTGTGTTTTTAGATTACTGACCCTTGCTTGATTCAATGGTTGCTTCTTTCTAATTGTTTATCTAACATTCAGACTATCCTACAATAGAATAAGACTGGTAGAAGTTCATGGCACTTTATGCATGCTGATGGTGGGTTTTACAATTATTTTCATTCTTTTGCTGTCCAAGATGCCATGTTCCCTTTTCAGGATTTTACCAAACTTTGTAGAGTTTGTTTTTTTCTTTGCTGTTTTCTGGAGTAGCATAATGAATGAATGAATGAATGAATGAATGAATGAATGAAAGCCTCAATCATTTTAATATATAATTAGTGGTTTTTGAAAAGGATTTTAATTGCATAATGTCACCAATGTGTGAAGAAAAGCTGGTTCATAGTACCTGAGAGAAAAGAAATTTGCCATGCAATCCCCTTGTGCTTGGTTTATTGTTTAGAGGACTGTTGTGTTGTACTTTGGACTTGTGATTTATTAGGATGCTCACTTTAGCTGTGGTGACCTGGATACTTTGGCTGAAGAAAAGAAGGACTTACTGCCAGTGAAGGAGTTCTTATTCGAAATATCTCTAAGTTTTCAATTCTCTGAGCAGGGATGCTGAAAGTTCTCCAGGAGGTTCTTGGCTTTGTAGAAGCCTTGGCATGAGTCCAGGTCTCATAGTAGAGATTATCTACTTTCAGATAATCCTCTGTGTTGAAAGAGCCATGGAACAGTGTTCAGAGGAGTTTTGGAGATTCTGTGTATGGTTTTTACCCTGCCTCCCACTGCAGTCTTTCAGCTTGGAGTCATAGATCAAGGAAGTTTAGGAAGTTTAACAATAGGGGGTCAATGTCTGGTGTCAAATGGTTGCAAAAGGTATGAACTAGTTTAAATGTACCCCCCTACACACACACACACACACACCCCCATGTAATTTTTTAAATAACATTTATTTTAAAGGCGCTCTACTTATTAGACTCCAGTATTAAATACATTGCACCTTTCTTTTGTTTTTTAATGTCCTTTTGAATTCTTTTCCCCCTCCCCAGTTGCAGTACCAAGAACTTGTCTCTTTTACAACTTTTGACCACTGTAATTAGAAGAAATGATTTAGGGATTTCACATAATGTACAGATTGTAAAACCTGCAAATAAATTATCTTAGAGATGTGTTTCACTAAACTGGTGCAACCCTTGTCCTTGTAGGAAGGATTAAAAATCAGTTTAATGGTTTTTATGCTTTTTCAACTAAATACCTCCAAGTGGCTGATGAATATCTCCTCCTCAGGGGCAAGAATGGGGCAGTAACTTATTCCTTCAAGAACAAAGTAAACAAATTAATAAAAAACCACCTAAACATTGCTAGGAAGCATCTTTTCCAAGGATTTTGCCTTCAGGAATACTAGACCACTAGGGTCAGAGAATCAGCTGAAAAACTACATTGTCAATTTCAAATACTGCTATTTATCTTGATTAAGTAATTGTTAACCAAGAGGCAATTATAGGACTTTAAAGGATTTTTCTTAAAGCATATGCTTACCAGTTGTATTATAATGTGATCCCCTTCATTTGCTTTTCCGGATTCATATGATTCAGGTTTGGCTGTAGTTGACTGAATTAAATGTATGCATTGCTCATCAGAACATTTACTTAGCAGATTGGCAAAGCAAATTTCTCAAAATTTTGTTGTTCAACGTACTTTATATACTCAAAAATGCAGCTTTTCTTTTTTTTTAGCAATTTTGCATACTAAGCATAATCAAAAGCAAAATGTTTTGTTCTGAAGCTGACTACACAGTGTTGCTCAGCCTTACAGCTCCAAAGTGATTTGGTGTGAAAGTGCTATAAAGATAACCTGGCATGGAGGCCAAATTTTTGTATGAGTTTGCTTTTGAGATGCGCTTGTGTCAAACTCACAACCTGCTTTTTGAAGTTCAGGGAGGCTGTCTAGTGTTTGGGGGTTCCTGTTCAGTGTGCCCATTTGCCTGTTTCTCAGCCTTCCTGTATTTATAAACAACAGCTAATACTTAAATTTATCCTGACCTCTAGTGCTTATGGATTGATACTAGAAGTTACTTTAAACCTGTTTACATTATCTCAGTATTAAAAGTAAAAACCCATCTTTAATATGATGAAATTGGGTTGATTTTTAATAGATTCTTTTCTTTCATTAGTTGAAAGAAAATGAAGTGTACAGGCTTAATAGCCAGAACAATAACTTTCCAATTTTAAAATCATATTGATTTTCTTCTAAATTCATCTGTATCCTTTTCAAATGCTTGCAGACAGATTATAGCAACCAGTGGTAGGACATCAAAATAATTGTTCTAATACTGTGCTTGTAAACTATAGCACCTTTTTTGTAATGCTTTTATATGCACTATTTGGAAAATAAATGAAGTGCTCTGGAGATCAGTTATATTCCTTGAAAAAGTGTTGGAAGAAAAAGATGGTTTTCCTCCCCTGTCCCCTTTCTAGATTGTAAAACCTAATTCTCTGCACGCATGTGGAAGCAAATTCTATTCATTTTAGAGAAGCTTTAGTTTAAATGTGCCTACGTTTACAGTTGTAAAATTGGTGGAACCATGTGTATTGTGGAGGCTTATGTTTCAAATAAGTAGGAAGAAAGGGTATTTTGAAACCTTGTATTAAACTTTCATATATGATAGCCAGCTGGACTATTGTAGCACTGCAGCAAGCTACCTTAAGATGAGTAGGATGGGCAGGGGAGCAAAATAGACTAAATACTTTTGCGCATGAGCAACTGCATCTTTAAAATTTTACTGAAACTGCAGTTGTGCTATGGGGCAGTTTTGTACTATAGCTTTATATGGAATTTCTGCTTTGAATATATTTTATTTTTGTATCCTTAACAGACATACGTTACAACTTCTGTCCTCATGAGGTGTTTCCTAATGTTCTTAACTGCTTGACATGTTTCTAGCATGTGCTGTATATGTATTCAGTTGTGATGCCCAAGTGATTAAATTGAACAAAATGCAAGGATATGTAAGATGTGAGGAGAACATAAAGGCCAGACTGCTTTGTGATTTACTTACATGTTTAATTCTACTGCATGCCTCTGAAGATCTATCGTAGGTGATAGATTGATTTCTGCAAATAAGTACTTTAATGAATCGTCTGCATGCTTCCTAATTAACTAATTTCCTAAATGTGAAAAACAAGAGTAAAAATTATCAAAGGCTTCTGCGTAACTTAAGGTTCATTGTTCACATGTAATTCTAAAAATGAAATAGACATCTTAATTTATAAATGGTTAATTAACTTAGAAAGGAGTGATTTATCTTTTGGCAGTATATATTCTAAAAAGTGGGTTATAATAGAAGCTATCTTCACTTAAAATGGCCAGTCGTGTGAGCTATAATGTTCATTGATAGAAAAATCAATAGAGCATTGATTCTGGAACTAAATCCTTAGAGACTTTTGTTCAGAATACCAGGCGTAGGCTGGTAAATACTGAGTGCTGTTCAGTGTGTTTAGTACATGAAATTTTCCATCAGAATTAAATATATAAAAAACAGTTTTTAATACTTCCCCATTATAGTTTAGATATCAAAGCCTATGATACTTCTGGAAATAATTGGGGTTTTTTTCCATTTTAGTGAACAGCTTTATTTGGATTAGCTTCCCCATCTCCCCATGAAAATGTATTTGATATAAATGAAACAGGAAGAAATCTTTAAAATCATAACTGTTTAGTTCATTCAAGCCTGCTGTTTTGTTTGTTCTATTTTATTTGTGTCTTGTTCTCAAATGCTTTACAGTTTAATTATCAGTACAGTTTGAAGAACATTTTAAAAGTTATTTGAAAGAGCTAATTTTCTTATCTTTTTGTACTTTCGATCAAAACAACTTTTCCAGACTTCCTTTCTTCAAAGTGATGGTGATCACCCTTAGCTTTATAGCAATGGCTCAGAATAAAGACTCAAAATAAATCTGTGAAACTACATAATATTTCTGTTTTTAATCTTGATTAGAGCAACTAACATAGGAAGTTAAATTATATAATATCCCTATAATATATAGAACTATAAATTAGTCGAATCATTTGCTCTGGTCAGCAATAATTTAACATCTTTCTAAAACAAATGGATCTTTAATCTTATTAGATTGCTTGAATGTAATCTGTCCTGGACAAAGTTTTACTTTAAAAAGAGTTGGAAAAAATTCAGTTTTTCCCATTAATCTATCTCCAAGGTATCAGTTTAATAACTATCAAAGTAGCTACTGCAGTTGTTGCATTTAAATTGATTTACATGTCAAGACTGGCAGTTTAGCAGCTGCGCTATTATTCCAGGATTGGTCAATTTACTTGAGAAAAACCTACTACTGAGTCCTAGTGACCTGCATGACAATATAGGCCCTATTTCTATTCCTGTAATTAGGCCTGCGACTAACTCAGAATATTTTTAATTAAAATATTTTGGTCAATGTGTTGCACCAAATTAGGCCTTTCAGTGTAGATTTAATTCTCAAAATAGCGTGATTAGAATATTCAATGTGTTGTGTTTCATTTAGGGTTAATTTGTACATACAGTATTTTAAATGTCTCCATTCTAAGTGTTTTAAATAATAGACTTGTCAATTTTCCTACTGAAAGTTATTGAATTGTTCATGCAGGTAGGAAATATATTATGTGGATTTTTAAAAATCGTAAGTTCAGTGTACAACACTTGGAAAAGACATAAATATAGAAAGATTTTTTTTAATATACATGACTTTACATGAACCATAGAAGAAATCAACAAGGCAAAATATTTATCAACCAAAACAACAATTCTTAGGAGACTGAGATTTCAGATAGCTTTCTTTTAAAGAAAATTCTGATCTTGAATAAATTACAAGTCTATTCCAAATTGGTTTTTATGTCAAAAGAAAAAGTTCAGTAAAATGGCAACCTTCTTTGAACAATAAAGGTTGTTTTTTCATTTTTATATACATTAAGGAATCAGTGCAAGTAAATATATTTGATGGTTATTCCTGTCTACTGAAAATCATCCCTTTGTAATTCTTTTATTCTGAGAACATGACCAGTGATTGACAGGTAGGTTGAACATATGGTTCATTGTAGAGAAAAAACACTTCTCCAGTGAATCAATTGGGGGAGCTGTAAGAACATTAGAATCACCATTTTTATGTAGTCACTGGAGGACTTCTCCACAGTAGCCTGGTTAGAATTTTGTCTATTCCAAAACCCCAGAATAAATGTTGAGAAAACTTAAAATTGCCGAGATTTAATACTTTCCAGTAGCTGATGAATAAAACAAAATGGCCATTCTCATTTTTAAAACAAACCAACCACCTATTTTCAGTGCTTCATGAAAGCTTCTTTGATTTTTTGTCATTGTAGATATGATGATATTCTGATCAATGGGCTACCAGATTGGCGACAACCTGTATTTTACTACAGGCGAGTGAGGAAAATGAGCAATGCAGAGTTGGCATTACTGTTGTTCATTATCCTCACAGTGGGTCATTATGCTGTGGTTTGGTCAATCTACCTGGAAAAACAACTGGTAAGCATTTATAATAAGCTGTATCTAAAACCACTGAAGTTGAATCCAGGGTTTGTGTGTGTGTGTGTGGGGGGGGTGTTCCCCCTTCCACTCTGCTCTAATGTTTGAAAAACTCAATAATGACGAAAAATGCTTCCAAAAATATGCTTATATCTAAATGGTACATAAATGATTACTCTTAAATAATGTGTAGCATTTTAAAATAAAACACAAACTACTTTGCTTTATATATTGGTGACTTTCAGATAATTTTTAGAAATTAACTTAATTAAAGAAGTCAGACCTTCCTTGTGAAATGCACAAATGTGGGTTTGTGAGTTTTCTCTTTGTCCTCTCCCACTCTTTGAATCTTGATAACTGAAATTCATACTCATTCTGGCTTTTAATGTCTTAATGGAGGTTTCTACCCTACCCCCAAATTGAAGTGTCTTTCAAACGTGATAAATGTTCCAGGGTTCGAATGGTAAAATGACAGAAGCAAAGACATGTTTAAAATGTTGGTTCCTTCTTGTCTACTAGAAAGCAAACAAGCATTCTTATTTATATGCTAAATTTTTTATAATTGAACAGCACTCATGCATTAGCATCTGTTTTTTCTTTGTATATTTTCAGAAGTATCTGATTAAAGTTGTTGGATGAAACAAGTTGAAAGCTTTAAAAAAAGTAAAAGAAAACTTTGCTGTGGATATATACATAACTGACAGAATTGGACTTCATGTGTTTTTAAGGAGTGGATACCATGGCAACACTTTTTGTTAAATGATTTTATTTAACTATGTGGCTCCTGCAATACATTTGCATAAATGCTGTTCTGTTTTATTCTTAATGGAAGAATCTTCCTAACAGTTGCAGAGCACATGTTCATGATAACCTCTAACAGCTTTTCCTTTTTAGGATGAACTGCTTAGCAGAAAAAAGAGAGAGAAGAAGAAAAAGGCAGGAGGGAAGAATGTGGATGAAGTGAAACTTGGTGTAGACAGGAATGAAAGGTGGGTAACCCAGGGAAATTCTTTTCACAGAAGAGTTATTTCTTCTATTCAAAGAAGTGCCGAAATAGTTTTTGACATCCAGACATATTTTGTGAATGTTTTGATGCTCCCTGAAAAGAATCTTTAGTGTGTGTGTTTTAATAGAAACTCTGCTCAAGATGTTAATTGTAATTTCTGAGGCATAGTTGTGAACTGATGTTATAAAAGCACACTAGAGAGCCACTGTGCTGTAATGGTCACACTATAGGACCGGGCCTTAGGAGATGTACATTATGCTTCATGCTCTGTGTGTGTCACATGTTGTTTGTCGAGGAGCTTCTTTAGCTAAGTGCTTGATTGGACAGGAGCCCAAGAGGGAAAAGGCAGCATATAAATGTAATAATAATAAATACAAATGAGCGTGCACGTTGCAGAAATTACAGTATGCATGAAAACCTCTGCAGAACTAATTTAAATGGCAGCTTTAGTCAGTTAATTTTAGGGGTGGAATAAACTGAAAAGGTTTATTGAATGCAGAATTGTCACTGAAGCTTTTATAACAGAATTTTAAATACAATTATTTTAGCATGGGTTTTAGCTAGTATGACTTAAGCTTAGGAGCAAGGAGACATTAGTAAAATGTTTTTGTTCCTGTGGTTCCCCCCCCCCCCACCACCTTCAAGCCAAGAAACAACATGCGGGGGGGAAATAGTGGCATTCAGAATACTCCAGAAGATACCACCATTTCTTCTATTGATTCATAGAAAGAAATAAAGGGTTTAAATAGTTCACACAGCAGGAACATGAATTGGATCAATGCAGTATAGAGAGCAGAGACCATTCTGCTTGTCTTCTGTTCTGATGACATCAGTGAGTAATGCATCAGTGAACTTCAAATGACATTAATTTTTATGTATTGGTTTGTTTAGGCTACAGTCTTCATATCTGGTTGTCAGCACTTGTGACTGGCTTGGTGGTCAGGCCATTTCTTTCTTGCTTTTTTGGCTGAAGCCGTCAAAAGCCTGAGTGGGTTATTTTGTGAAGTGCAGACAAGCCCAATGTTTAGAAGGAGCTCTAAAGATATTTGTCATAATAATTATATTTTATATGAAAATATTTACTTGTCCCAGTAAGCAGATTCCTGCTTATTTTAGCACTTTATGTTCCTAGTTGGAAGATTTCCTGTGATGCATGCAACAGGATATAAGTAGCAATGACTGAAAATCTTTTATTTCTATAGATTGTTAGAGAAACCACAGTGGCGGGACCTGCTTCCGTGCAAGCTGGGAATATGGTTCTATCTAACAGTAAAAGGATTGCCTCAGCTAATTCAGGTAAAAAATGAATGCTGTGTTTCCTTTTACCCCAATTTCTTTTCTTTGCAGGTTTGTAACATTCCCTCATATTTGTAAGTCTCCTACATCTTTATTCTTATCACGTGTCCTGTATTTTACTTATGGGAATTTACTGAGTTTAGTAAACTATTTTGATCCAAGTAATGTTATATAGAGAGTCCCTGTGATTCTCTTATGTCCATTGATTTATAAACACAGAAGACATCGAGAGCTAAATAAATGAAATAGGAAGGCAGAACTCTCACTTTTAAAATAGAATTTCTGGACCAACAGCAATATGTTTAAAGACTTGCTATTTATTTTGGGAGCCTTAATTTTTTCTGTGTGAATAAACAAACAAAGGAATATGAATAGTAATTCAGGTTTCAATAAGACAGGAAAGAAAACAAAAACATTCTTTAATCACAGCGAATAAGATTCATTAACTTAGGCTGCATCACCATTTTATCAGATTACAAATTATTTGAATGACTTCAAGGGCTTAAAAAGACAGTGCAAGGTTAAATATTACGACAGAGTTTTGGAGAGTTAGATAACAAATTTGCTGAAATGTGTGTTTGTGTTTGCTTATGTTTGTAAGAATTATATCTGTTTATTGGCCACAGTTATAAAACAGTACTGTAAGGTTTTAAAAGGCTGGTGAATATTGTGGGCTTTTATTAACAAATGCATTGAATTTGATTGAGATGAGAACTGTTGCTGTCTAAACATAAAATTTCCTCGAGTCATTTTAATTTTACGCATGGTATAGGCCAGGAGCATCAAGACAGGTTATGCTTCAGATTTGCCTATCATTAGCAACCTGTTAACCCAGACCTTGATATTATATCAGTATCTGCGAGGATATCTAAGGGCTTACGGACTGATGTAGCACTGGCAAAACTAAATTAAAAACTGAGAAGATAGAGCAAGGCAAGCAGGAAGAAGGTTTCTGGCCATTAAAGCTCCTAACATAGATTTGAAATTGATAGCATTTGGACTTGAATGTGATTGCCAAGGCTTCCAAAGAGACATGGCACTTGGCATATCAAGTCTTTGCTTCTTCTTGCTGATATGTTCATAAGTAAACTGCTAGTACTTGGATGAACCTGAAACAGCTTTGATTAGCCAGAGAGCTTCTCTTCCCCATTCTTTACTTTAGGAGCAGTTAAATATAAAACATATTGGATTGATCCATGAAGTTGGGACTTGTATTTGACTTTGGCTATCTGTGCAACACCACAGGATTTTGGCCCTTTGGCAAGGCCTTTCAGCATAGATTATCTGTTGGTAGTGTACAGAAACTGCTCAACCAATGATGTAGTTTAGCAAGGGGTGTGTTACACCGGGGGGGGGGGGGTGTAAGTAAAGCAAATTTGGCATCCATATAGATGTGGTATTGAGGGTATGAGAGTTATAAAAGTCAGGGGGATTCATCCTTTTCCTGCATCAATTACTTGACCCAGCCCAGGAACTCAGTTTCTGTATCTCCCAGAACTTGCTTAGTCTTATTCCTGATATATTAAAAGCTACTAAAATGATAGAATATCATCCTCCATGCTTTGGAGTCAGGGGTATAATTCAACCTGCCATTTATTACTCACACCTTGTTGGTTGAGATGAGTCCTATCTTTAATGGCCTGACTTGCCCTATCCATCTGCTTAGTTCACTGTCAACCTTGGGGCAGAGCTGAATGAAATGTGGATGACCATGATTCACTTGGAGCGTTTATCCTTACACACAAGTACTGAGAACCCATAGATGGGTTTCAGATATGAAGGATTGATTTGGGATACTTCTGGTGTGCTGGTTGCCTAGTGCAGATTCTGTTTGCTTGTTTTTTATACTGCCTAACAGCCAAGACTCTGAACAGGTAAACAAAAGTTTGAAAGATACACACAAAAAATTAATTTAAAATAACAAAACCATAATAGCAATTACAATTGCTAATATTCAACACAGAAGCATAGCAGTGGTTCACAATAAAATGAAGTACATGAAAAAGATAGAAGTTAAAGTGCTGGGAAAATAAAAAGATCTTCACCTGGTGTGGAATACAAAGTAGGTGCCAGGGACACCTCTTTGGGAAACTCCTTCCAAAAATAGGGTGCCACAACCAAAAAGGCCCCCCTCCTGGTAGTCACCCAACTCACTTCCTTTACAAGGGGCTCCTGGAGAAGAACCCTGGAGACCTCAGGATCTGGGTAGGTACATGTAGGAAGAGGCAGTCCTTCAGATAACCTGGCCCCAAGCCACTTAGGGCTAAGAATATTAGTACTAGCCCTTTGAATAAAGCCCGGACTTCAACCAGGAGTCAGTATAGCTGGAAGAGGACAGGCATAATGTGTTCCTATGAGCCAGTCTGCATTAACAGTCTGGCTGCCAATGCTGTGGATATGATTGTGAGACTGCTGTTGGAGATTCTCTGATGTACTTCACTCACAGCTGAAGGATGGCTTTTGGGAATGGTACTTTGCCTCTGCGGCTCTGCTATCAGTGGTTTCTAATGCTTTTGTGAAGTTACTGAATATGCTTTCATGCATGGCTTTCTGGTTTGTGTCACCAGTATGCAGTCCAATTGAGTTCTATATTTCTCTAAGTGAGCTCTATCCTGAATCATTCTCCAGAAGCTGTGCTGGGTGGATGATGGCAAATATATTTAAAACTGAGGTGATTCTGGGATAAATCCTCAAATGTTGGGGTTGGTTAAGATGTCTGTGATAGAAGAGGCTGAATTTTCTATATCTTAACAGGTAGCGATAGCAGCCAGAGCTGTGTGTTACCAACTTCATTTACTGCATAGGGGAAAGTACTTTTTTTTTCTTTCCTGGGAGGTTTTAAAAGCATGGATCAGACTGGCTCCTGCAATGTGTTATACATGGAGCTGTCACTGAAGACAATTCAAAAATTTCAGCTGGTGCAAAGTGCTATAGCTTCTTTTTCATGTGGTGGTTAAGAGGCATGAGCAATTACCTTGGCTACCAGACTCAAGCCGTTACGTTCAGAGGTGTGGCACTTCAAATGGTTTGGAAACTAATTTCTAGGTTCCCTGGGGGCTGTACTCTTATTGCTGCATTTGCTGCACCTGTAAAGAAATTTGTGACTAACTGCTGAGGAGACTTAAAAGGATCACTTTTAGTGTTTAGCATCAGAATCTGGCACTTCTGAGTCTCCAAGGTGCTTTGACAGTGAATTTCAGCAGCAGACCACTGTGGGGCTTTGGGGTGGGAGGGGCAACATCAATGGTTCAGGGGTTGATACAGAGAAAGGCAGTTTCTAGGGTGTGACTCATAGTGTTGTTGTTGTTAGTCATGAAGTCGTGTCCGACCCATCGTGACCCCATGGACAACACTCCTCCAAGCCTTCCTGTCCTCCACCATCTCCCAGAGTCCACCTAAGGTCACACCAACTGCCTCAGTGACTCCATCTTGCCACCCCATCCTCTGCCACCCCCTTCTTCTTTTGCCATCTACTGTTCCCAGCATTAGACTCTTCTCTAGGGAGTCCTTCCTTCTCATTAGGTGGCCAAAGTATTTGAGTTTCATCTAGTATCTGACCTTCTAAACAGCAGTCAGGGTTGATCTCCTCTAGGACTGACCAGTCTGATCGCCTTGTGGTCCAAGGGACTCACAGGAGTCTCCTCCAACACCACAATTCAAAGGCCTCAATCCTTTTGCGCTTAGCCTTCCTTATGGTCAGCTTTCACAGCCATACATTGCAACTGGGAAAACCATAGCCTTGACTATACACACTTTTGTTGGCAGGGTGATGTCTCTGCTTTTTAGTATGCTGTCTAGATTTGCCATAGCTTTCCTCCCCAGGAGCAAGCGTCTTTTAATTTCTTGGCTGCAGTCCCTGTCTGCGGTGATCTTGGAGCCCAGGAAAATAAAATCTGTCACTACCTCCATTTCTTCCCCATCTATTTGCCAGGAAGTGAGAGGACCGGATGCCATGATTTTAGTTTTCTTAATGTTGTTTCAAGTCAACCTCTTGTGCTCTCCTCCTTCACCTGCATCAAGAGGCTCTTTAGTTCCTCTTCACTTTCTGCCATGAGAGTGGTATCATCTGCATACCTGAGGCTGTTGATATTTCTCCCAGCAATCTTAATTCCAACTGGTGATTCATCTAGCTCCGCCTTTCTCATGATTTGCTCTGCATACAAGTTAAATAGGCAGGGCGTCAGTATACAACCTTGCCGAACTCCTTTCTCAATTTTGAACCAATCAGTGGTTCCGTGTCCAGTTCTCACTGTTGCTTCTTGACCTGCATATACATAGGTTTCTCAAGAGACAAATAAGATGGTCTGGTATTCCCATCTCTTTAAGAACTTGCCACTATTTGTTGTGATCCACACAATCCAAGGCTTTAGCACAGTCAATGAAGCAGAAGTAGATGCTTTTCTGGAAAAATTTTGGAGAAAATTATTTAAAAAATCAGTCTGCAAGCATCTTGAACAAAATACAATGATTAATAGAAGCCAATGTAGATTTATAAAAAAAAATTCTGTCAGACTATTTCAATCTCATTTTTTGACTGGGTAATCTCCCAAAGGGTTAGGGTTCCCTCCAAAGACAGAGAGAACACAGTGTAAATAATCTACCTAGACTTTAGCAAAGCTTTCAACATAATACCCCATGACATTCTAAGAAAATTAACGAAAACTGGACTAGATAGAAAAACTATTGTTGGATCCAAAATTGGCTGCTAAATGGGACACTTAGAGTGCTTATCAACAGCACCTTCTCAAACTGAAGGAAGGTAACCAGTGGGATGCTGCTAGCTTCATTCCTTTGTCCAGTGCTCTTCAACGTCTTTATCTTTCTTGTACTTGCTTATCTGAATCATTAATAATCACATTTGCAAATGATACAAAACTGGGTGGGATAGCAAACACCCTAGGAGACAGAATGAAGATCCAGGGTGATCTTGATAAACTTGCTGGGCTGAAAGCTTGAATGAGATTCAATAAGAACAAGTACTGTCCTTCACCTAGGAAAAA